GATGTAGGCGTTGTGGCGCCGCCCGGTGAAAGGCTAGTTGATCTTGATTATGTGGACGATATTGTCTTGCTGTTTAAGGATGTTGGGGCGGTGCAATCGACCCTGATCAGCCTTTCAAGAGTGGTCTCGCTATGTGGTATGCGCTTCGCACTTCAAAGTCTTGCTGCGGAATCACCAGCCCCTTAATGACCCCCTGAACATTGATAGCAAGGAACTCGAAATAACTGATCAACTCGCTTACCTTGGCAGGTGCATTAGCAACGATGAGCGCATGTAATTTAAGTCACGTTACGTGCTAGACATTGATACATAACCTAGTTCCTCAGAACAACATATAGCACTGTAGAAGTTGCGCTAGCTTGGGCATGTGCTACCTTTTTCCGCTCACTGCTTACTGAGGAGGACCATGGTTTGTCCCGCAAATGTAGGGTGGCACAAAGCTCGAGGTGGACAAGACTTGACTTGGCAGCGGGAAATGAAGTCAATGATGACCAAGCGTGGTGTCCTCGTTCCGTCTTGCGTTCCGGGCTTCAGTCCACGTGACTCGCTTTGTCCTTGGCTCGCGACGTTGGAGGATATGGCTCGCAGTGGCGCGACTGCTGCTGTCGGACTGCCTGTTTAAAGTGTGTTTGATGCGGAGTTTTCTGCGGGGTACTGCCTGATTACGACGCTGGGCAGTAAAAGCCGTAAGGAAGCTTTCTCGCGGATGCCGTCTTATGTTTGCACGATGGCCAGCATTTTGTGATGGTATGTTGGCAAGGTGTAGGCGCCTTAACACTGAATGTTTGCTTAGAGCCTTACGTTTTTTTGGTAAGTCCGACTTCCCTCCCTGTTATTATTCATCGTTCTGTAGGTAGTTATGGTTGCATAGCGGCGAAGCATCAGTCCAGATTGTTGATGTATTGATGATGATGACGACGATGATGATGATGACGATGACTATGATGGGGATACCTAGAGCTAGATATAACGATTAGAATTTTTAACCAAAGCCTTTGATTTAGAAACCTGTCCATAAGACGGCAGGGCGGTAGCAAGAAACGCCATGTGATCTCGAACCCCTAACTTAGAAGACCAGACGACTATTTCTCTTACCTCTAACTATTGACCAACCTAGTGGGAGTAGTTCCTAGGGAGTTCGAGGGCAACACCTAATAGAGCTCAATGAGTCGAAGAGATACACAAACCGTCGCACCACGTTAAAATAGTCTCGCTGCAAGGGTTCCTGCAACTAGGTCAACAACTGTTCTCTTCAGATATTAAGTTCTATAAACCCAGAAAAACAAAATGAATCTACCTCAAGTAAGCAGTGAGGGGTTCAGTTGGTGCATGCCTGCTGTCGCAGATAAATCCAAATGGCCACGCCAACGCGTGGTGGCTACAGTGCCGACAAATAAAACCACAACCATGCGTCCAACGTATAGCTTATCACCTGAATTTCGTCTTACCACTAGTACAGAAGGCACTACAAGAAGCCCACCCAAGATGCTCATCCGCCTACTAAGTATTTTCCCTGTCAGAAACGAGGCATCCATCTAGATAGATAGGCTTGTCGGTCAGCGGTAGTGAAGGTTTCGTGTCTGAAAGTAGACAGCGTGTTTGCCGAAATATGCAGAAGGGTACTAAATCGTGAAGATACACTGAGCATGGAAGTACATCGCTTGACGAGTCTTCCGGTGGATCTTGCACAAGAACTGGATGTCGTTCAAAGAGATCAAATCGTCCGCATACCCCAAAACTGCCAGTTGGTCATTTTGCAAGAATGAAACTCATGATGAACCTGCTGTCCATCATGACGAATAAATTAAACCACAAAAGCTAAAAAGTGCTGGCCGGAGTCAGATGTCGTTATTATTATACACCTTAGCTGGAGGTGGAAGACCCTTGTTATTGTGTCGCGCTACATAAGAAAATAAAAATGCAACAAAGACATGTCAGCTGAGCCGTCAGTAACGGATGAGCATCGTTGCGGATAGCTATCAGCAGGCTACTGTGCCGCATAATTACATTATGCTTAGCAAATGAGATCGGCCGGTTGCCATGGTCTGCGCGCATGGTTTGCAACCATAAGGTTACCGGTTCGAATCCGCGTAGGGGTGGGCGTCCTCGCGGTATACTCCGCCCGCGCGCGACGTGGTAGTCGCGAGGCAGCGAAGCGCCGTTACGTTGTATAGCTGACATCATTATTATTATTATTATTATTATTATTAGTAGTAGTAGTAGTAATAGTAGCAGTAGTAGTAGCAGTGGTATTACAAAATGAGAGCGTGGCTGGAGAAGGCAAACCGGTAAGGGGAGGGATAAAGAAACAACACAAACGCCACTGAGGTCAGTTCCTTGCTATGTCAACAAGTCTATCCAGCCGAACGTGTTCATTGTTTTTCGGACCCCAACCAGGGAGCCTAGATACTCCAACCGAGGTCAACTTCGAACGAAGGGCCTCCATTCCTCTTGACCAAGTTATCGTTTGGCCGCCTCTCCGCTTCTTCCATCCACATCCTCGGCCCGCAAACAACGCACGTCGCGGGAGCTGGTGGGCTGGCATGTGCAACACGTGGTCCAGCCATCGGAGCCTGCTTTTTGAAATAACGGTGCTGAGCGGTACATTTTCTCTTCCTGTGCCGTAAACAAGGCGTCGAACACGCTACAACCAGATATATGCCAAACTGCGAAGGTGGTTGAATAAACTAGCTTTTTATTTTGGCTGATCTAATGAACCATGTTTCATAAGTGTACAAAAGGGTCGAAGGTATGGCTGCATCGTACACTCTACCCTTCAACAGTGATGTCGCGCCGGCACCATAGGTGGTGAACGTTGGCAAACACGTATCGAACTATTGCTATACGGTTTGTGACTTCTCCGATCCCACAGGCGCTGATGCAACTTCACAGGTTGTTAAATTTTTGAACGACTCCTAGTTGATCCCCAAGGAGGATCAGCGCAGGATGCGGTCCCTGCCAATCTTGGAGGGAAGCTTTGCACTTCGAGAGTGCAAAGCGGCTGACAATAGATTGGCGTTTTAGAGCTGTCATAGATGAGGGCAATGTCGTCAGCATGCTCTAAGTCACGAAGTCACTCACCTGGGAGCAGCTACACACATAAGTCGTGTCCTGTGAACGCATCTTCATGACTTTGTCAATAGTAAATTCGAAGAAGAAAAGTGACAGCGAGCACCCCTGCCTAGCACCACTGGAAATATTGAAGGGCTGAGACAACTCGCCATAAACCTTCACTCTGCCCGAGCTACGCGCGTAAAGCGATCGGAGAAGATTTAAGTATTCTTCGGGCGCGCCTTCCTTGAGTAGACAGTCCTAAAGGGCATATCGATCGACCGAATCGAGGAACACGACAACGGTGGGTCGCCAATATGTGAAGATGCGATCGATGCAGCCGCGACCTGGATTAAACGCGACTTGCGGCTCACGGATCACGAGTGCCAGTCAGTCTGTGATGGATGACAGATGCAAGCATTTTGGAGACAGATACATAACCAGATTTTCAGCATACATTTTTCGGGAGTATGCAAACATAAACAGCGCGTGGAATAAGTGCGACCACCCGGATAAAGGGGGAAACTCAAACAAGAGAAGTGAACATGGGCCACCTGCATGTGTAACTGTCCCTATGCGTGACATGCTATTGGGAAATGAAGTCACTGATGTATAGTCGGTACAGTTAGTCCATCACCCCTCCACGCCAGAGTTCAGACTGCCAACCGTGCACGGGTCGAAGATTTTGCTCTTATAGATAGCAGCCAGAACCAGCGGTGTGCTTTATCAAACCAACAGTATTGGTTGCTTGAATTGTCTGATGCTGAGCAGTTAATGGACAATGCTCATTATAACTAGGGAGTGAAAGGCGCAGATGAGCCATCTTACGGATGTAGCATTAGCACAATACCTTTGTGACTGCACGCTGAGGTGGATCAGTATAGACTGCGTTTTCGCTTGACATTAAATATCCTTGTAAATATACATTGCCAAATCTTCGCAGAAGTTGCATTAGCACTACATATTGTAACGTAACACATAAGAATCCACGCAACCCACAAAAAGATAACTAAGGACAACCCTAGAGAGACCAAGGGAAGAATTATGGATCACTCAGTGAAAGATGACAATGTACGGACGGGGATGAAATATTGCACAATGCGAAAACATAGTAAAGATTCAGATGGGACTGGAACGATAGAAACACCCCTTGAGTGTTCCTTCTTGAGCGGATCGTTGAGCCAAGAAATTATAAGGTGCTAGGTCTTGATGGATCTAAAACGAAAAACCCGAACCACATCTTAGTCAACCAATTATCGCCCACGTTCCCTGCACCAGCAGTCCCCGCTGTGTAGGTCACGTGAAGTAAGGAAGACGTAGAAAGAAAATGGAAGATAAAGGGGAAGGAAAGTCATGTAAATGAAAGATAACGTCAAAAAGTGAGGAGAATGACAGAAAATGAACTTAAGTTGGAAAATAGATATGGTCAGCAGAAGGGAAGGGTTTCGTGTTGCCACCCAAGAGAGTCTAACTGATGCTCAAAACGCTTAACTGTTCACTGACTACAATTACCGGAAGCGAGTTCCAGCGCTCGATAACAACGCGATAACCGAGTTTCCGCCCTGATCCAGTCGGAACCGGCTTGTGTAGCTTCATGGTATGACCCCGAAGACAAGGCAACCTACCAGGGCCAAATAGCCAGCTCAAGTTCGGTCCAATCTTCCCTGTTAAAATGCGGTAACGATTAGGTCTCCTCGAAACTGCCGGTAGTGCATTGAATGCCCAAGCTATGTAGACGCTCGGGGTACGATTGCCCCCGTAACCCTTTGGCCAATTTGGTACCAACTCTTAAATTGGGGCAGAAGATAAAATGCGCTTAGTATCGCCAAAGATAGCAAAGATTCTATCCGTAAAGATGTCGAGTGCCAAGAACGTGATTAGAGCATGGATTCTAAGAAGCATTGCATGAGCGTATCAAGAAAGCTTGATTAGATTTGTGATCAACTTACTGCGGATAGTTTGCGCGACAATACGTGACAAAAGTCAGCATGGTCGCGATCAAAATCCTCCTTATCATCGGAACTTTCTTCGTGCGGAACAGAGTTGGACGGTACACTGGGGTCATTGTTGGCAATGGAGTGGACGCGGTGGTGCACTACTCGACTTGGTTTACGGGGGTAAATAAATCGGTGTTGGTCAACCAGAGCTGCCATATCTGGTTTGGAACGACGCCATGAGGGTTTTCTCTACAAACTAAGTGACCTGGAGAATCCGCATACCGTTGCAGCGACCCCGTCTTCCATCATCCGGCCTGTCCGAAGCGGAACGCGAGCAGAAAGCAGGATAGCTGTCGCTAACTGATGAAGGGATTGGGTGAAGGCCACGACCTTCAAAGAGCCACTGATAACAGGTGGTCAGGTCGGAACAGTATCCAAAGGCGAAACCGTCTTCCGAAATTGACGATGTAACATCCTATTGCTAGGAATAGCTAGTTACATAACCCACTACTGTTAGATGAATATTCCCACTTACGTAAGTGTGCTGCCCAACCCCATAACAGTACCCCCGTTTAGATACGTCACTATTTGTTCCATCATAGCGAAGTGGTATGAAACCTGTTCATAGATGCAGGTTTATGGCAGTTGGTAAAATGAACATTTACTGCTTAAGACCCTACAAATTCTTCCATTGTTTCTGTTAATGGCTAAATTCCTTACGGAAATTCAATGTTTCGGATGAGTTGAACAGGGATCATCGCTTAAGCGCACCATGGATAGATTTGATATACAGGTCATGTAAGACAAATCGCATATTGCAAATCTTTCCTGTGGATGTATATGAGATGAGGTTGGTTTTTCCACCCTGCACAGCAGAGATAAGAAATACGACGAAAAATTTAGGACGAATAGCATTGTACTATTGGAACTGACAGGAATGATAGCACTATTTATATTACATGTGTTTTATGTACTATGTGGACTTAGCAGAGTAAGTGCGAATATCCTTTCGCTTAAAGAATTTTAAAATTTTGGGAGTTTCAGATCCATTGCAACTGCGGATAGCATACTCCAGTGCGCTTCGTTAACGGTTTCCTGAATAAAGGATATAATATCCTCGAGTGCCTCGATTGTTGTGACAGTGTCACATCTCGTTCGAAGGTAAATCAACTGTCTGTCTGCGTTGAGTGACGAAATACTGCAAGCAGCAACATTTGTCCAGAACTGCACTAACCACTGTAGAGTACTTCTTCCAGTCTTCATCTTTTGTTTGAAGCTTCGTGCTAAATTGAAAGACTAGTGTGTTTTTAATGGACAACCCTAAAGCAGTCTGCTTCCTTTATGCCTGCCTTTTATGGTGCCGAATAAAAATGCTGCTCTGTTGCACCGCAGTTTGCCTTCATCTGCCTCTGACCCTGATGCTCCTCCTGGAAAGCACGATCCAGTTTCTCCAAATGCATTGCCATAACCTAACCATCGTCCAATGTTCGGTTGTACCATAAAAGCCAGGAAAGGACTTATGCAGTGATGTCAAGCAGCAGTATAAGTTCATTATCCGTGAACCCGAACGAGCCGCTGGGTAATCCGAAGACCTAGAATGCTGCGAAACTTAAGTGTAATCCGAACTCTACTCCATCCTAGCAGAACGTTACTCTCGATAAGGTGACGCAGTTGGATCGTATGAGTAATTCAAGCCCTCAATCGCAAAACTCGCATCACCTTCAGGGAAATAGATTTCCCGGACGGGAAAGCTGTCTGAACATCCTAAACGTCCATAAATATTAAAAAGTGTCCTCGGCTGTGAGAATACTACAGGAATAAGTCTTCCTGAAGCGAATGGTTTCCTTACTGCTCGATACGGGAAAACTGGTTATAAACTGCGTTTCTTCCCTTTGTTTTGTCTAGATGCAGGAAGAATCCTCGAGAATTCTCTCTCTACGTGTTGTCTCCTCATTTGCAGAGGAAGGCCGCTGTATACTTAATTTTGCCTCAAGTCGGAAAGGTGAAACGTACTTGTTTATGAGAGACATCTCCCAGGACAGTTGAGGAACTACGAACCAGGCGATCGTCACACTGTGGATTTTCGTGTGATACAAATGAACCCGAGGACACGGTGGAAACTAAACTGTGTCCTTCCAGTGCGCAGAGAATAAGGAATGGATTGAACGCGATAGCTGTCAACATGCGTAAGTTGAGTAACAAATTGTATGAGGTTTAACTCGTTATCTGGGAGCTAAAACACCCTTTTATGGCTCCTATTGAAATTGCCCTATTCCCGGATATTTCAGACATTGAAATACTCATATCAGGATATCACTATTCTCGAGAGGATCGTCTTGGAGATAGTGCCGATGGTGGGATTGTTCTTTACGGGAAGATGGTCCATAAAGGTCGCACACTGGCAGCTATATGTCCTCTCGACTGAGGATCGGAAATTCGTGGGTTCAGGGTTCAAGGTGGCTATAGAACACTCACGGTCTGCTCTATGCGCAGACCTTCTTTAGGCTCAAGATGGCAACCATTTTCTTCATGAGGACATAAGATCTAGGCAAAGACCGCTTTACTGTAGATGACTTCAATGCCCCGGCGGTAGGTTAGGAAGCGCTTCATTGCAATTCCTTCGCATGCTCTTTCCATGCTGGTTTATAAGAAACAGTCTTCGAATGTTACCTAAACCAACACGTTTCCTCAAGCACCCGTTGATTCCGTACTAAACGTCACATCCTCCAAATAGTGCTTACACCTGCTCCAGCAGACGTCTCGCATCTAGATATTCTTCATCCGCTGCTAGCGTGCTCACTGTGTAATCACTTTTTGTAGACGCGGTAATTAGCTATAAATATCTAGGGCGTACATCGACGGAGTTTGGAGCGAACTAATCCACACCGCTTACAATTGGCTTCAAGATGCATGGACTGGAACCTCCCTCATTATTGGGACCTGGATGCTGCTTGGGACCTACTGTGCTACAAGTTGATGCTTATCATTAATCAGGTGGTTCCAAGTGTTACAAAACGAGCTTTCTCTAAATGTTCTTTATGGGATGATCAGGAAATCAGCTCGCTCATTCTGAGAAGGTAAAATCTTGGGATCAGTTCTAGTTTACGCAAGCAAAGCGAACTTACCTTTGTAACTGAGTTTATAAGATACGTACATTACGTAAACGCGAGAAACGATGAATTAATGAGCAGCGGCTTTCCGAAAAATCCGTGGTTGTTCAGAATGGGCTTCACAAATACCTAAAGAAGGCAGTGTTCCTGGATTCGGTGGATTTTCGTCTAGAAAGAGTCCCCCTCGAAAGGAATACATCGCTTGAATGAACCGGAGTGAAACCCAACGCGGCCACTGGAGTAGGAACGTTACGCTTTAGGATGGAAAGTGGATAACAGCTGATTGGTAGCAACAGTATACGAGACCTGCTTCAAGCCAAAACGTTTACTTGGTGCAAATTCCACTATCACATGACGTGGTTAGCAATCGTTTTACATTTGCCTTAACAGGCTATTTTATCTATGCGGTCGAACAGTTATCACAACCTTAGATCACTTCTTACACTTTTCATTGTCAAGACCAAAGGTTATCACATATGATCGTCGCACAGTTGATTGTACATGTTTGAGCAAGTCATGTTCGCGAAACTCGTTCAAAACCGAGAATATGAAATTTTATTTATTTACACATAAACTGCACAAATATCTGTTTTACCACGTTGTGCTGGATCGGACGTGACTTGCAAACCAATGCAGTCACTGCACTTTACATCACATGCAAGTTTCCCGACACTACACGTCACTAATTCGAAGGGGTGGGCTTTCATACAGGTTACATGCCCTACTATAGTAATATGAATCCTCAACACAATACTGCTTATATTACTTCTCAGCAATACACTATATATCTTTACGTATCCGCATGTAGCGTCGGTTAGTATTTGCGAGAAATGGTTGCTCTTAAACAATTAATGATGCCTAACATGGCCTACCCTAAACTATTCCAAAATTACCCATTCATTTATATGTGTTAAATGAATAAATAAATGATTGTATCCTTGATGAAATGAGACACGGCAATACAGAGATGGTGAAGTGCTTGTCAGAGCCACAGAAACATACAGAGCGTATACACACCATGCTACATAGATAAGTGTTCGCAAAACATACAGTTCCATAAATTGCAATACGTTATCATAAAAAAGCGCAAGGCTAATGAGCCTGTCCAAGGAACTCGGCTAGATGTGTGGCGCGGAAGATGTCAAATCTATAAGTGTTTCCGATTCAGAAATGCTGAGTGAGATAACGAATGTTTCAGGAAAGTGCTCTCATTTACTCCGTGTGTGGATGAAACAGGTAGAATGATGGCAACGCACTGTTTGACGATCGGATGAGGTATGGTTCGTATGCCATTGTGTTCACAGGCATCAGGTACAGGGATCTTGTCAGTGTTTAGCAGTGAACAGTGACTTTAGTTTGGTGGCGAGTCAACCCGCCAAGTCGAAGTGTTGATAGTCCGACATGTGTTGCTTTTTATAGGGTCCGCGCTTGCCAAACTAAAGCCGATTATTTTAAAAGATAGCAGCGGTACAATTGAGCTGCATTCAAGCGTGGCACCAAACATATAAAATAAATACTGTTACCGACAAAGTGGTGGTGGCTTCAAGCAAACCGAAAGACCCTAGTTTTAATTCAGTATTCAAGGCCAAACGTTTGCTACCGTGCTATTTGTACTAATGGATAGGGCCAAAAGCATACGCTGACTTCGAGAACATCCACCACAAAATGTACAACCTTTCCGTTCACAAACTAAAACCGGAAGTCTAAAGAAGTCCAAATGCAGACAACTATCAAATGAATTCCAACCGGTTACACAACCGACTAAGCAATTCAATCAGGCACGTTTAAACACAAAACGGTTAACAGTCCAATCAAGCCAGCCGTTAATATGTCATCTGATGAGATACATTTGGCAGCGAAACAAGGAAATTAGGGGACTAGTGGCGTGATTCGGTGAAATCCGATAGACTGTGATTTGTCTGTTACGCTACCCACCAAATTCCTTCCACGTATTTAGCACTGCTGGACATTTCCTCGCCCGCTCTAGTTGCCATGCCCTACCCGTCACAGTTGTGCTCGCAATTCCTTCTATATACCTTCACTACCCTGGAGCATGTAAACTTTCTGTATGTTCCTCACTAATTAAACGCACTTTGGTTTCGCAATCTCGGCTCTGATCACTACATTGTCAGAGGTTCCAGAGCCCCAATCACTCTAGGTGGCCACTGTAATTGTGGTAGCGCCACAGAGGTAACCGGTACAACCCCAACGGGGCTAAAACTAAGCTCGGCATTGGGCAACGTTTTTCTCAAATGTAACAGCGGTGGGA